CCCTGGCCACTCTTGTGGCTGGTCTGCCTGTTCAGAGAGGTCCTCCAGGGCCAGGTGCAAACCCTGCAGCTTTTCCTGGGAGCCTGGCAGTGCCAGCTCAATCCTGCACGATGCTGGGCTCCTGCCTCCTGCCTCAATCTCTCACTCCCTGCTCTGCCACTGTCCCTTCATCGGCCCAGCCAGTGCAGGCCTCTGTCCCACCCCAGGCATTGCTGGTGCACTGAGGGTGCAGGAAAGAGGGTTACAAAGAGTAATGATTAACTTGTACTGAGTTCTTCCTGTAGCTCAGATACCTGGCTAAGTGTTATTCCTCGGATTAAACATTTCAGCCCTCTCAAAACCCCTCTCAGATAGGTGCTGTTATTACCCCCCATTTCACAGATGAGAACATTAAGGTTTGGAGAGATTTAGTAACTTCTATATCCTAAAGTAATAAGTGACAGAGCTCGGATTTGACCCTATGTGTCAGAATAAGGACCCATGTGCTCACATGCACGCTAAATTTCTTGTGTGGAGCAAGCCAGAAAGCCAACCCATTTCTCTTACCGTCATTTTCCAGAGACCTTCTTTGTATCAGCCTCCCACGTGAGGTCAGCTTGTGAGGAGAGAGGAAGCCTGATTCTCTTGGCCATCTCTAAAGGCGAGCTGTGTCTCTTCTGTGACGTGAACAAAAGACAAAGCCAGCCATCCTGAAGCTGAAGGTGAGCTTTACCCTCGGCCACCCTAAGAGGGAGGTCAAGGTCCGGGTCCTTATTGTCTCTCATGTGCCACAAATTCTCATCTTGGCCAATATAACAGGAGCATCTGCCTTTCTGGAAGCACTGGGTGGAGGCTTTATTGCCCTCCTTTTTGGTTCTGTGCTCCAAGAGCACACATGCTGGGTTTTCTCCATCTCAAAGTCTGTGCTATCTCATTACTCTCTTTTACCTCCTAGAAGCAGAAACTTTCTGACATGGCCACCCAACCATCATGTCTGCCCTTCATCTTTCATAGGGCTACGGTGGGCTCGTGGAACACCTTGGAGTCAGCTGCCCAACCCGGATGGTTTGTCTGCTCCTCCTGCAATCCCGGGGAACCTGTTGGACTGACAAATACTTGAGGGAGAAGGAAACACACTGAGTTTTCATTTTGGCAATTCTGCAAAGCTGAAATAAGCCCCAGTGAAGTCAGAGAATAAGAAACGGCCCCGTCAGATGCCTTCCTGTCCTTTCCTCTCTAACTTGTGCCAATTGCAGAAGAACATGGAAGCTACTGCTTAACCTCTTTGGTTTCTTATTAGTACTTTGAGAATTTGTATCTTGAGGTCATAGAAGGAACAATTGCTTTATTGTAGAGTTCTCAGATGAAATAAAGTTCTCTCTAGGCACCGCTTACCCTGAACCATCAGATATCCATAGGTGGTGTCATATCACATGATTTGGCCGAGTAGAGTCTGCAGGTGCCCCAGGAAGGAGTAGCTGGGCTTATCCTATGCTCCAGAATTAGCCATTCCTACTGGGGCCTGACAGGTACTGGGGGGGGGCGGTGTGCAAGTCCATGGAAGTGGTTTAGTCGGTGTCGAAGGCACAGTGTGACGGGAAGAAAAGCAACAGCACATCACCATCCAGACAAGTGATAAGTGGAAAAGGGTGGGGTGTGTCCCAGAAAAGGAGCAGGGTGACTGCAAATGTGGGAGAGGCACAGACACAAGGAATCTGGGTCCAGGGACAGCCAGGAGACTGGGTGAGCAACCGGTTGGTATCTGGGAGAGCTGTTAACAAGGGCAAGTTCCTATCACTAAGCTGAGCTCAGATCCCAGTTAGGAGTGATAGGAGGGCTGGTTGACCAGAAACCCAGGACCTGGAAACAGACTGGGAGTGGGGCAAGGGGGAGGGAGACTTGGAAATTAGTCGTCTCCTAGGTATGGCTCTTCAGTTACAAGCAACAATAATTGAGGCAGGCTTACTTAAGCAGAAGGTAAACTAAAACAAACAGGAGCTTTCTAGAAGGATTTTGGGTGCACTCGTTTCTTATAGCTGCTGTAACAAATTACCACAAACTCAGTGTTTAAAATTTTGCAGTTTGTTATCTTGCATTTCTGGAGGTCAGTCTGAAATGGGTCTCACTGGGCTAAAATCAAGGTGTAGACAGGGTTGCATTCCTTTTAGAGGCTCTAGGGGAGAATTGATTTCCTTGCTTTTCCAGCTTCTAGGGGTCACTTGCACTCCTTGCCTTGTGGCCCCTTCCTCCATCTTCAGTGTTGGCAATGGCTGGTTGAGTCTCTCTCATCCTGCATCACTTTGACCCTCCTGCCTTCCTCTTTCACTAGTAAGAAGCCCTGTGATTCCATTAGGCCCACCCGCATAATCCAGGATCATTCTCATCTCAGGATCCTTCATTTAACCACATCTGCAAAGTCCCTTTTGCCATGTAAGGTACAATTCACAGTTTCCAGGGATTAAGATGTGGATATTTACGGGGACCACGATTCTGCCTAGCCCATGAAGGACATGCTAAGAAACCAGAGTCAGAAATTTTCAGCAGGTCCCAAATGGCAGGAGCAGGGATGCTTTGGCCTCACCACTGAGATGGATAAGGAAAAGATTCCGATTCCAAGGAGAGCATGTGACTGCCCTAGTTTGGCTCATGTGTCTGCTTCTCAGTCAGCTAAAGGCAACACACCTTATTAGTACTTTGAGAATTTGTATCTTGAGGTCATAGAAGGAAGGATTGCTTCATTGTAGAGTTTTTAGATGAAATAAATCAAACTCTCTACAAGATACCCCCTTACGTTTCCAAGAGGCAGTGAGGGTCCTCAAAGTCAAGCTGGAGAGCTGACCTCAGCAGGTACTGGGCAAGAAGACGAAGCGATGCCTCCCTGAGTCCCCTCAGCCGTAACTAGGACTACGACAGTACCCCAGCCTATGAGGGTCGAGGGGGATGAGGCCCCAGGGAAGAGCTCCGACAAGGTCAGCTGCTTCTGTTTCTGATCTGAGGGTGCTGGCGACCAGCACCAAACCCGAGGTAAAAAAGTATTTAGTATTTTCAGTGTTTGAAAATGTGTCCAGGTGACAGTGATGCTTGGCATGGGATTGGGGGGCAGGGGTGAGGGTGTCTTCTTCATAACGTCACGTAACTTCTTTGCAACCAAGACGTGTCTATTCAGATTGGTCTCTGAGCTGGGGCTGTCTCCTAACGGTGAGGACTCTGGCTTCCAAATGGGAGTGAAACCTTGGTCTTGAGGAGGTCGACCATGTGGGTCAAATGGAGGCAGGCATAGCCTGGGCTCCATCCTCCTCCACCTGTCCTTCCAACCTGGTGACATGAAGTAAATCGCTGTGGTGCATGTAGCATGTTGTGTGGGCTTCCTGTGAGGCTACACCGAGATCACAAATGTACCCGCCTCCTTACAGAAGCACAAGATCCCTGTGTGCTCTGACTTTACTGGTGGAAAGTCAGGAATGGTTCAGGTGACCACACAGGTGTGCCACCCCATTTAGTGCTGCAAGCGGCTTCCCACCCCAGCACCACCAAGCCCTCTTTCCCGGGTCTTATTTTTTTGGTCCTCCTAACATGCTATATAATTTGCCTATTTATTATGTTTAATGTGTGCATCTTCCACTAGGATGTAAGTTCCAAGACTTCTCTTCTCTCTGAGGTATCCCAAGAACCTACCACCCAACATGTTTTCTACGAATGAATGAAGGAGACAGAAAGACCAGACGGAGGACGGAAGGAAGAAAAGGATGGAGAGAGGGAAGGGTTGTTATTTAAATGACGGTCTTCTTATTACTGCAGCTAATATGACATCCCCTGCAAAGCAGATGCATTTTTGAAAACTTGTATAAAAACAACTAAGGTGATTTGGATTTTATTTTCCTAACCGTCATTGTAATCATGGGTCTAGGTGTTCAGTGAAAAAATTTGGGCCATTGCATGTTACACCTGAGAATCCCAATGTCTTTCTTTCCTAAGGGCTGCTATAACAAAGTAAAACCACTAGGTGGCTTAAAGCCACACAACTTTATTCTCTCACAGTTCTGGAAGCTAGCTAAAAGTGTGAAAGCAAGATATTGGCAGGGTGGATAAAAAAGAAGGAATAATGCCATTTGCAGCAACATGGATGGAACTAGAGATTATCGTACCAAATGAAGTAAGCCAGAGAAAGAGAAATATCATATGATATCACTTGTATGTGGAGTCTAAAAAAATGAGACAAATGAACCTATACACAGAACAGAAGGAGACCCACAGACATGGAAAACAAACTATGGTTACCTAAGGAAAAGGGGTGGGGGAGGGATAAATTAGGAGGTTGGGATTAACATATACACACTACTATACATAAAATAGATAACCAACAAGGATCTACTGTATAGCACAGGGAAATATACTCAATATTTTGAAATGACCTATAAGGGAAAAGAATCTGAAAAAGAATATATATATATATGAATCACTTTGGTGTACATCTGAAACTAACACAACATTGTAAATCAACTATACTTCAATTTTTAAAAATATTAAAAAAAAAAAAAAGGATGTTGGCAGGGTGGGTTCCTCCTCAGGGCTCTAAATCTGTTCCATGCCTCTTCTAGCTTCTAGTTTTGTTGGCAATCCCTGGCGTCCCTTGCTTTGTAGATGCATCATTCGTCCTCCATTGCCACATGGCCTTCTTCTCCCTGTGTCTCTGTGTCTTCTTATCCTCCTCTGTTTGTGTCAGTGTCCAAATTTCCCTTTTCTTACAAGGACAGCGGTCACATTGGATTAGGACACATCCTAAGAACTTTATCTTGATTAAATCTGCAAAGACCCTATTTCCAAATAATGTCACATTCACAGGTACCAGGCGTTAGGACTTTAACATATCTTTTTTGGGGGGAGGGGCACAAATCAACCCATAACACTCAAATTTCAGCTGTTTACCTCAAAAAATTCTCTATGCCTCTAAAGTGCGTGATCTCACGGCATTCACCCTGCAGCAAGAACTCTTTCAGGAGGACCCCATCCAGGGGTTCCTTTCCCAGCTGATCATTCCTCTTGCCCCCATTCAATATCCTGGGCAGGGTGAAGCAGGTGAGGGAAAGAGGAAGGCTATACTGGGGACAGAAAGAGGCCTCTGCTTGGGAGTGAGTGACCCAGCACAGCGCATTAACGCACAGCCTTAGGAGTGGTACATAGCCCAAGCATTTTTGATCCCAGTTACCCCACTCAATTAAACAAAGCTGAGGACACATCTTGAAATAGGGGCAATAGCACTTTGTGAAACGTCCATAAAATTAGGAAATTTACAAGGACTAGATAAAACAGGAACTAACGTTTAGTAGTTTCGTCTCACATTCCAATGGACTGGCTCTCCCAGCCCCTTCTCTTCACTCCAGTCTCTGGAGACACACGCCTAGTGATGGGCTGGTAAATGTTTAACAAGTTCTATCGGGGTGGAGGGGGAGGGGTGGGAATGGGCGGGAGCAATGATACACAGCTCTTGCCAGTTTCAGTGGTGTAGGTACTCCCAGCACAGCCCGACTTCAAACTGCCCCCCATGAAGTCACTGTAGGTGCTGTCAGGAAGAGGTGCTAACAATGGGCTCTTACAAGCTGGATGAACTGACTCCAGCATACCAGGGAAGCCCCTTTAAGATCATCATTGTAGAGCCAGGGGTGATTGGCAAACCATAGCCTGCAGGCAAAATCTAGCTCACTCCCTGTTTCAAATAGTTTGCTAACACAGCCAGGCTCACTGGTCGTCTATGGCTACCTTCCCCCTACAGTAGAACCTGTGGATTCTCAGCCAGCAAAGCCTAGAAGATTTACTATCTGGCCCTTAACAGAAAGTTTGCCTACTCCCATTCTAGAGGGCAAGGGGCCACAGACTGTTTGAAGTCTCCAGACATTCATCCCTGAGTCATTCTGGAACTTTGCACTTTTCATCAAAGAGTTGCAATGCAAGATGGTCTCCATCTCACGCACAAAAGCCTGCACTGTTTTTTACTGCAAAAGTAACATTGCTTTTGTTTGTTTGTTTGTTTGTTTGGCGTAGCTCAGCCTCTCTTGGTATTTTTCAGGAGGAAAATGTATTCTAAATTCCACCTAATCAGGGAACTGAGCCTTCGACGGTGCCTGTCATTTCCCCACAGCCCTTTCGCAGAAGGCGCCTTGTCAGTGCAGCTCCGTACAGGGGCTCAGGGCAGGATCCAGA